CGAATCACCACTAAGAATGCCTACCCGATTCCCTTGATTACTGAGTTATTCGACCGCCTTAAGGGGGCAACAGTCTTTACCAAACTTGACCTTAGGGCGGCGTACAACCTCGTACGGATCAAACAGGGGGATGAGTGGAAGACCGTGTTTAACACCAGAACCGGTCACTACGAATACCTGGTGATGCCCTTCGGGTTGTGTAACGCGCCCGCAGGTTTTCAGGAATTCATAAATGATGTCCTTCGTGACTTGTTGCAGCAGTGCGTGGTAGTTTACTTGGATGACATCCTGGTTTACTCTGCCTCCATGGAGTCCCATATCCAGGATGTCAAGCAGGTGCTGCAACGATTACGTGAGAACGAACTTTTTTGTAAACTTGAGAAGTGCGAATTCCATCGATCCCAAGTTGCCTTTTTAGGCTACATCATTTCTGCGGAGGGATTCTCCATGGACCCTCAGAAGGTTTCGGCGGTTCTGCAGTGGCCTCGTCCCAATGGTCTTCGGCCCATTCAGCGCTTTTTGGGTTTTGCCAACTACTATCGGAAGTTCATCCGGAACTTCTCCACGCTGGCAAAGCCTCTCTCAGACCTAACCCAGAAGGGCAGTAATCCTCACGAGTGGCCACCCGAGGCCATCGTAGCGTTCGAGGCTCTGAAATCCGCCTTCGCGTCGGCTCCGATACTGTCTCATCCCAATCCTGGATTGCCCTTCGTCCTTGAGGTTGATGCATCCGAGACGGGAGTAGGCGCTCTCCTGTCTCAACGTCGGTCTCCCGATGGACCCCTACTTCTCTGTGGGTTCTACTCCAGGAAGCTTTCCTCTGCAGAGTGCAACTACCAGATTGGAGATAGGGAGTTGTTGGCAATCATTCTGGCTCTCAAGGAATGGAGGCACCTGCTCGAGGGCTCCCGCGTTCCGGTCCTCATTCTTACCGATCATAAGAACCTGACTTATCTTTCGGAGGCCAAAAGATTGACACCCCGCCAGGCCAGATGGGCTCTGTTCTTGTCACGCTTCAACTATGTGGTTTCATATTTGCCTGGTTCCAAGAATGTCAGGGCTGATGCGTTATCACGGCAATACTCTGAGTTGTCCAGGGAAGACTCTGAGCCAATCTCAGTTATTCCTCCAGATCAGATCCTGGCTGCCATTCGCACCAGTCTGACCTCTCCTCTTGGGGAGCAGATTTTGGCGGCTCAATCTGATGCTCCTCCCGGGAAGCCGGAGGGTAGATGTTTTGTACCCGAGGGATTGCGCACCCGCCCTGCTGCGTACCTACCATAACGCCAAAACTGCCGGGCATCCGGGGAAGAACCCAGCTGTGTTGGGTCGTCTCTCGCTTATTCTGGTGGCCAACCCTCCGTGCCGACATTGCTTCTTATGTAGCGGCATGTTCGATCTGTGCCCAGAATAAATCTCCACGGCATCTCCCTTTGGGTCTTCTGCAACCCATTCCCAATGGGGAGCGTCCTTGGTCACACCTAGGTATGGACTTTATTGTAGACCTCCCGGTGTCTCGGGGTCATACGGTCATCCTCATGATCGTCGATCGGTTTTCCAAGATGTGCCATTGCATTCCACTCAAGAAATTACCAACAGCGCACGAACTGGCCACGGTCTTTTCCAGGGAGATTTTTCGCCTGCATGGGTTGCCTAAGGTGATTGTCTCGGACCGCGGGAGTCAGTTCGTGTCCAGATTCTGGCGCGCCTTCTGCTCCCATTGGGTATTAGTCTCTCCTTTTCCTCAGCCTACCACCCGCAGTCCAATGGGGCTGCGGAGCGTTCCAATCAGGCCTTAGAACAATTCCTTCGATGTTATATTTCAGACCATCAGGACGATTGGGCCGATCTCCTGCCTTGGGCAGAGTTTGCCAGGAACTCGGCGGTCAACTCCTCCTCCGGGATGTCGCCCTTCATGGCCAACTATGGGTTCCAACCCGCAGTATTACCTGAGAGGTTCTCACCACAGGACATTCCGGCTGTGGAGAACCATCTTGCTGCCCTGCGTCCTTCATGGGGGCAGATCCAGAGGGCCTTGAGGACTCAGCTCAGCGCCAAAAGTTCCAGGCTGATCGCAGACGGTTGCCCACTCCTTCATACCAGGTCGGCGATCGGGTGTGGTTGTCTACTCGCAACCTCAATCTTCGGGTGCCCACATCCAAACTAGCTCCCCGTTTTGTCGGTCCTTTCCGTATTCTCCGCAAAGTGAATCCGGTGGCCTATGCCCTTGCCCTTCCGTCTGGGATGCGGATCTCCAATATCTTTCATGTTTCCCTGTTGAAACCTCTGATCTGCAATCGCTTCACTACCTCTCTGCCTCGGCCCCGTCCTGTCCGGGTTGACGGTCATGAGGAGTATGAGGTGAGCCGGATCCTGGACTCTCGATTGGTGCGCGGTCGATTACAGTTCCTGGTTCATTGGCGCGGTTATGGTCCTGAGGAGTGTTCCTGGGTTCCTTCCGCGGATGTCCATGCTCCTGCCCTCCTCCGCGCTTTTCATACCCGCTTTCCTCAGAAACCTTTTGTTGAGCCGCGGAGGGGGAGGGGCCCTTGAGGAGGAGGTACTGTCAAGGTCCTACCTTTTCCCTGAGGTTATGTTACTCCATGTGCTGGCGTCCATCTTGGATTCTGCTGTGCATGATGGGAATCCTTTTTATGTCTTCAGGTCTCTGAGGTCCACCCCCCAGAGGGGCATGCTGATGACATATAAGCCTGTGGCCCGCACATGCTCTTTGCACTTGTGTCTTGGTGTTACTATTACTCTGTTCTGACTCTCGTGACTCTCCTGGTATTCTGATTCGGCTTGTGACTTGACTATTCTTTGTATTCTCCTTTGATCTGACCCTCTGTTGCCTAACCCGGCTTGTGACCTGTGATTCTCGTCTGCTGTCCTGTACTGTTTTGTCCTGTTGTTGTTGACCCTGGCTTGTCTGACTACTCTTTTGTTTCTTCCACCAGCTACACGGCATTGGCGGCGGCCATTACCGCAGCTGAGGTGTCTCGGGGGCCGCGACCTGGTTCCTGGCTGCGTCAAGTCCATCCCCACCATCAGGGGCCCTGGTGAAGGGCAGCCTGGGACTTAGACTCCGCGCCCTGAGGGACTTCGGTCTGTGGGTGGTGGTTGTCGTCAGCCAGTGTGTTACATTGTTAGGCCTGCCTGTCCGTTCCTCGGCTCCTGCCCTGACACACAGTCTATCAGTTGAAACACAGACTTCTTAGCCTAATTCAGTACTGTGACCTACAGCCTCAGTGTCACCCCCCCCCCCCCTCATTGGTTAGAATGCAGGACTACTCCTGCAGCACATGTGCTTTTGTGGACAGTGACACTGTTAATACCTAATTTCCAACATAATATAGCCATATTATGCCATACTTGCTTCATCAAGCTAATCCCCTACTTTTTGGAATACAAATTCTATTGGAGTCTATTCCCGCACCTTTCTCTTTTATAATGATCCTTTGCCTTCACCTACTTCCACTGAGGAGAGACTTTTTCTAGTTCTGCTGGAGAAATGTTTCCTACTACTGTGCTTTTCCTTCTTCAAAAAATCCTGCTCTCAAGCAAAAAGGACCTCAACCTTAATGTTTCCCAACTAGGGCCCCAACAAGTGCACAGAAGAGTTGTTTTTTTTTTAAATTCTTTTATATTCTGAGGTGATATTAAAAGGGACATTGGCATCTGTATATTCATCTTCCGAGTTAAACCCTGTTTCCAGGCATTGAGAATCCTAAGGGGAGGTAGTCCAAATTCCTAAAAGCCTACTTCAGCTCATTTTTGGGAAAGATATCTCAGTGCGGAGATTGGTGTTTAAACTCTGCTCCTGCAGGACATTTTGGGTTTGTTCCAAAGTAGTACTGTGTTTGGCTGAGTCTTGCAGAGTGTCTAACTATTGTACACACTTTCTGTTATCTCTTTTGCTTTGCATTATTTGTTTTACTTTGATCTCAATACAATCACAATATTGTTTCACCTTACACTGTGTGATTACCTTGTGTTCTCCTGGTCAAGGTTTTACGGTGGTGTTGGCAGGGGCTCTTAAGGGGGTAGCGCTATAGGAAGAAGGTGTCTTCAAGGTGTCTTCAAATTCTTCATATCTCAATCCAATTGAGCATCTGTGGGATGTGCTGTTAAAATAGGTCAGACTTGAACTGTTGTCATTCAAATATAGGTTACCTGGTTTCAGTAAGGTGTGGTTATTTGAATCATAATGAATTCACTAGTCCATGAGAAAGTGAAGCTATGATTTAGGGTGAGGCCATTCATAGATTCTGATGCAACCTTTTTATTAGGAGACAGAGCTTCCATTCCTATTTGGAGCTGACGCAGCTCATCATGGGTGCTGCAAGCTGCTTTTCTAATATGAAAACCTGCAGAATAGTCTTTGACAGCACCCTTGGCTTTCACCTACAATCAGGTTTTAATTGCATTAACCCCTTGTTGGATGTTGATGTATTGGCAACATAGTAATTTCATTGCAGACAAGGGTCAGCAAGAGGTTAAATCTTATGCTTACAAGCAATTAAAATCTCATGTGTACTTGAGGAATATGCAACATACACAACCTTAGCATTTTTCCATCATTCAATCAGCACTGAAATTAATAGAAATTCTACCCCCTTACCATATGAAAATTGGAAGAGCAATCATTTATAAAAACAATACGTGTAGCATTTGAGTTATTTTCTCCTATGTTTGTGTGACAAGGGAGACAGGTGTTCATTCATCTTTATGCTGAGTTGAAGTACATTGGGCTATACACAAACATAGCTTCTCTATTAAGACAAACAATGTGTGTAGAAATCAGAAATTGTTTTATGTTAGTTCAACATATAGCAAACAAATTTTCGATCTTAAAGTAAAAAAAAAAAATTTAATCAAACAGTAATTCACTATGTTTCAGTTAAAAAATACCAACTAAATGCATACAAAGTCAACTGCACCAAAGGAATTGGGGAGGTTTCTGTTTCATAGTACCCGTATTTTTCACTCCATAAGACATACTTTTTTCCCCCCAAAAAATGGGGGAAAATGTCTGTGCGTCTTATGGAGCGAATATGGAGTGGCCGGCCCGGTATTCCCGTGTTAGAATACCGGGCCGGGCGCTCGGCTCTACTGTGCAGAAGAACCCGCTCCTCTGTCCTACCTGTTCCTTGGTCCAGCGGTGTCCTGCTCCCATCGGCCGTCTTCTCTCCTGGCACCAGCATCTTCAGTGTGGGCACACGGCTGTGACAGCTTGTGGTTTCACAGCCGGGTGCCCACTGCACATTCGCAAGAAGTGCTGTGCTTTGTGAATGGCCCTGTAGTCTTGTAGGATCTGTCACGTGTCCCACAAGACTACAAGGAGGGGGGGGGGGGACAACTCTGCGGAAGTGGGAGTGGGTACCTGTCAAATTCAGGTACCTGCCCCCCTCCCCAAAGGTCTGCATTCTCTGGTCATCTCCTGTACGATGTCCGCAATCTCTGCTCATCTCCTGTACTATGTCCACAGTCTCTGGTCATCTCCTGTACTATGTCCGCAGTCTCTGGTCATCTCCTGTACTATGTCCACAGTCTCTGGTCATCTCCTGTACTATGTCCGCAGTCTCTGGTCATCTCCTGTACTATGTCTGCAGTCTCTGATTATCTCTTGTACTATGTCCGCAGTCTCTGGTCATCTCCTGTACTGTGTCTGCAGTCTCTGATCATCTCCTGTACTATGTCCACAGTCTCTGGTCATCTCCTGTACTATGTCCGCAGTCTCTGGTCATCTCCTGTACTATGTCTGCAGTCTCTGATCATCTCCTGTACTGTGTCTGCAGTCTCTGGTCATCTCCTGTACTGTGTCCACCATCTCTAGTCATCTCCTGTACTATGTCTGCAGTCTCTGATCATCTCTTGTACTATGTCTGCAGTCTCTGGTCATCTCCTGTACTATGTCCACAGTCTCTGGTCATCTCCTGTACTATGTCCGCAGTCTCTGGTCATCTCCTGTACTGTGTCTGCAGTCTCTGGTCATCTCCTGTACTGTGTCCGCAGTCTCTGGTCATCTCTTGTACTATGTCTGCAGTCTCTGGTCATCTCCTGTACTGTGTCTGCAGTCTCTGGTCATCTCCTGTACTATGTCCGCAGTCTCTGGTCATCTCCTGTACTGTGTCTGCAGTCTCTGGTCATCTCCTGTACTATGTCCGCAGTCTCTGGTCATCTCCTGTACTATGTCTGCAGTCTATGGTCATCTCATGTACTGTGTCTGCAGTCTCTGGTCATCTCCTGTACTGTGTCCGCCGTCTCTAGTCATCTCCTGTACTATGTCTGCAGTCCATTTGTTCATATTTTTTTTCTTCTTCTTTTCCTCCTCTAAAATCTAGGTACGTCTTATGGTCAGGTGCGTTTTATGGAGCGAAAAATACAGGTATTTTTATTAAAATTACAATTATTCTTGCAATCTATTTTACATTTATTTTAAACAGAACCAAACTCATCTTAATCAACATTAAACTATTTTAATCATTATGCTACTAGCATTAGTAAATAGATAGGAGAATCTCTTGTATTTAACTGTTTCAACCTTTTTTTTTCCAGTTACTTTCTGGTTTGGGGGTCTAGGCCAAAATGATGTCATACAGTCTTAATGAGCATTTTTTATTTTTATCTGGAGGAGGGGAGGAGGGGCTTTCTCAACTAAGTACACCTGGCCTTCTGCCTGCGTGCCTGAGCTAAGAGGAGAAAGATTCCTGAAAGTAAATGCTGCATGAATAATCTGCCCTTAAACAAGATGGCTGGGACTAGAAATGCTAAGGGAGTTGTTTTTCAAAGTAAATTCTCCAAGCATGGAGTCATGTACGGGTGGATGAGTTTGTTTTGAATATTAAAAATGAATTGCATAGAATTTTCAGTTTATGGTGTTCAGATACAGTTTAGATCCTCTTTATTACATACAAATTCAAAACACGTATGGTATGAAAGGTGCCACACCCTATTATTAGGTCACAAACTACTAAAGCACTTGGGCACCAGGTATCAAATAATGACAACCACATGTCAACATACATCATTTTCTTTTTACACAGTAAAAATGATTATACATAAAACATATTAAAAAAGGAGGGAAAAGATTCAGAATCATTAATATTGGTGTACCAGAAACAAATATCCAGCCATCTACAAGTTTATTACAATTGTAAGTCAAGATAGCCAAATGCTCTGTCTAAAAAAGGACCATGTACAGTGCTATAAATAAATTCTATACAAAGAGGAAGGACAAGAGAGTCAATGATGAGCTTTATGTGTTGCAAGGTCCAAACCACTACTTCATCAGGAGAAGTATATATCAAAATCTATATTTTAATCCATGGGTGCTCAACCTGTGGCCCTTCAGCTGTCACGGAACTACAAGTCCCATCGTGCCTCTGCCTGTGGGAATCATGCTTGTAACTGTCAGCCTGTTGCAATGCCTCATGGGATTGTAGTTCTGCAACAGCTGGAGGGCCACAGGTTGAGCACCCATGTTTTAATCTACAAAGCAAAAAACAGTAAGTGTATGCAATGACAGAGTGTAACAATGTAGATACAAATACACATCACATTTTTTTGTTTCCACTTCATTTTCTTACCCAAGATGCTAACAACATATATACCAAATACACTAGTAATATCCCCTTTAAAACTATCCAAATTCATTGCTGACTTTTAGCAAATAACCATACACATTGTCTATAATAAATTACAAGCAATATAATATCTGTCTACAACTAACAGTAGGAGCACCTAATGGTTATAACTCAAAAACACCAAAAGTCCGGCAGTACATTAATAGCTTAACAACTAATCTAATGTATAACCAAACATATATAATATATAATCTAATTGATAATCATTAAACCCCAGAGATAGGTACTAAAATATACATACAAATGCATCTTCACAAACAAAATTAACGGTTTACTCTGTTCTTTCTATGAAGGCTTATGCAATTTGCCCTCTTACCTGACTGACATGTCCTCAGAGGTCCAAAGACTAAAATAGGGGACTACATTGCTAAACCCACTCTCCCCACTATCCCTCTAGCCACGGCACAGGATCTTGACCAACCCTTTATGGAAGAATAACTTGCTTTTGCACTCTTCTCCTTTAAGAACAATAAAAGTCCAGGCCCTGTTGGATATACTGCCCGCTTCTACAAAGTGTTTCGAGACCTCCTTACCCCACTCCTGACCAAAACATTTAATGCATTTTCCACCAATTCCCCTTTCCCTACACAGGCACTCAAGGTTCATATCACCGTGTTGGATTCCACCCTATGTGACAGTTACCGCCCTATCTCCCTGACAAATATATGTATATATTAGGCTGTAATCCAAAATATTTGCTAAACATGCTTATGCATTTGATCCCAACAAGCTTCATCCCTGGTAGGGAGGCTAGGGACAATACCCTTAAAACATTTACCCTAATGGAACATGCCCAAAAATGCCATATCCCAGCTTGTTTACTCTCAATTGACGCTGAAAAGGCGTTTGACTAGGTTCACTGGTCCGTCTTTTAACAAACACTCAAACAGATTGGAGTTGGTCCTAAGTTACTAGCTAAAATCCTGGCTTTATATACTGTACCTGCCTTTCAACCAGGATACACTCCAATGGCCTCCTATCAGATCAAATTTGGATCTGCAATGGCACTCGCCAGGGGTGTCCCCTCTCCATGTTACTAAATATCCTTGTGATGGAACCTCTTGCCATCGCTATATGTCAACACCCTGATATACATGGCATTTCAGTAGGTCATCATCAATATAAACTCTCCTTGTATGTAGATGCCCTCCTGATTTACATTACCAACCCCCTTGTCTCTATTCCATCCTTGGTGTGGATATTTGAGGAGTTTCATGCACTGAGCAACTTTAAAGTGAACTATGATAAGATAGAGGCCTTGAACATTTCTTTATCTCCAGTCGTCTTTATCTCATCGTCGCTGTAACTTTGCCTTCAAACGGCAACAGAATGCCATAAAATATCTTGGTATTAAAGTTCCATCGTTATTACATACTACTGTTTGGCAGAGCTTAGTTATACATCCCACCTCCAGATGGTCCGTACTTGTCTTGAAGCATATGACAAGCCGCACATTTCATGGTTTGGTCGTATGAATACTTTCAAGATGGACATCTTGCTGAAATTATTATACACTTTTCAGGCTATCCTGGTTCCTCCAGCTCCAGCTTTTTTGTGTCTTTAAACAGTGCTATCCATGCCTTCCTATGGCGCCTAAGCAACCTAGAATTTGATCAACCATCCTTCCCTTACCCAAATGTAGGGCGGGGTGGCCTTATCCCACTTAGTGTTCTATTTTCATGCATCCTTTTTGTTCAGAGTGGTTGACTGGTACCAAGTTGTAGACTTGGCTGGAGAATGATTTTGTAGCCCCTGATCTTACATCCTTATCTTGGACAGAACCTGGTTAGAAGCCCCTGAGAGATGTATTACCCCTCATGGTTCATGCAACACTACAAATTTGGGATACCTACCTACATAAGGACCTAGTGTCTTCCAGACTGAGCCGCCGAACTTAGATCTAGCTCTAGCTCCATTGGCATCGCCAGGACTGCCCTCATTTGAGCCACACTTTTTGTGGCCAGACTCTCATTCCCCTCTCTCAAATTCTTTCCTCTTGCCATAGCTCATCACCTGCATGGCTGGAGTATACACAGCTGAAACATTATCTGAATACATGGCTCTCTATAGACCTCCTGACGTGACTTTACACGGCCTTCGAATCTTTGCTATTCCAATCATCTAGAACAGACCATACACTTTCACAGGTATACCAGATCTTGCTGAAAGAGTCATACCCAAACCCACCTCCATTCCTTTCTAAATGGGAACAGGAACTACAGATACCGGCGGACAATATGGATTGGAACAAAATACTGGCAGTTTCATACAATCTGTCTATATCTTCTCATGCACATGAGCGTAATTATCGGATCTTGTATAGATGGTATTGTTGCCCTACAGTTTTGCATAAAATTGACCCATCTGTCCCTGAGACCTGATGGAAATGCTTTCAGGAGCCTGGCACCATGACCCATATTTGGGGCACTTGTCCAAAAATTCTCCCATTTTGGGATAAAATATTACATCTGTTTGGTAAATTAGTGGGGTACAAAATTCCAAATGAACCTCAGATTACTGTATTGTCTATGTTGCCAAACTCTTGTAGGCAAATTCAAAAGAAACTCAGGCATTTTATAACAGCTGCACGTTCTGTGATAACCAGGTGATGGCGTCAAAGTGAGGCTCCATCAATGGCTGAATGGGCTTGTGAGTTGGACAAGATTGAATACATGGAACAAATGATTGCATGGGATGAGGATAAATCTGATTTATTCAAGCTTATGTGGACAGTATGATCTCATTTCAGATACTCTTTGATTCCCTTATTTCAGCTTCATTCTGGCTTCTTCTGTGGTTTTCCTCTTTATTTAGTCTCCCCCCTTTTGTTCTTCCCCCTCTCCCTCCTCTCCCCCCCCCCCCTATTTTTTTCCCTTTGCCTAAATTTTTCTTCTTTTCTTCTCCTTTCTCCCTTTCTATCTCTTCCCTATATTGCAACTGCTATATTGTCTTTTTGTATAAATCACTCATCAGTGAGATTTGCTACATTGCATGCTAACCCAAGCATTATATTCCTTTCCTAGTTTCCCACATGGTGCATATCTCCATTACATTCTTTTTTGTTTCTCTTTTTACCTCTCCTGTTTCTTTTGGTAATCTCAAGCTCCTGAAGGTCTACTGCCTCTGACACTATATTTGTTACCAACGTCTTGTGATCATTGTTTAACAATATATTTTTCTCTCTTATTGTTTTATATTGTATTATGCCTATCATATATGGTTGGTATGATTATGGATGAGTTTGTTCACATGCTATGTGTACATGCACTGTAAACCTATAATGTCTGCACCGGGATCCACCCACCGGCATCATCAAATGGCCCCTTTATTACATAAAAGTGATCAACGTTTGCTGATCAATCAAATTCCTTTATAGTAGAATGCCTTCATAATTTAAATTACTTTTAAATGTATAGCAATAGAAAGCACACTAAGAGTTTTTGAAATTGGCTGAAAATTGCTATGAATGGCCAACATAAGGCCTGTTGCACACAGGAGGTTTTTTTTACTGCATTGATGTCTATTGAACAATGTACACCGCTGCGTAAAGGTCAGTAATACAGCGATGAATACAGACCAGTAAAACAGAAATAGA